CCCTGCCCTCCAGCCCTCGCGCGGGGCTCAGGCCCGCCCGGCTCAGCCGCGGGCGCAGGGGGGGGGGAGGGGGGGGCGCTCCGGGGGGCGGCGCCCTCCGCGGCGGAGCCCTCCCGCGGGGGTCGCGGGGCGCGCGCCGCGGCCTCCCGTCGCCGAGGCGGCGCGCCTCCCGCTGTTGGGAGCGGCCCGGCCAGGGGCCGACACTGTAGGCCTCCCAGGTGGGGTCCGAGTAGATTGGGGTCGGAGGGCAGCGCGCGCATCGCCGGTGCATCGGCGATGCGTCTTGATGTGCAGTTCGATGTTCTCCACGCCGACGCGTCGCCGAGGCATCGCCGGCGTCGGCGCTGCGTCGCCGATGCATCTCCCACGCATCGGCGATGCGGCGCGAATCTCCGACGCCATCCGCCCGGGCCACATTCGGGAGGTCTCCAGCCGCTCTGGCTGCCGAGCTGCCGCGCCTGCAGGAGCCGTGGTCGGATGGCTCTTTGAGGGAGCACCTCCCCGGTCATGTGACGCCCTGGAAGCAGTCAGGGCGGTCCTTCCCTCGACCTTCGGCCTCGGGGGGCGCTCACGGGGCCCCCGGGGCCGTGAACAAGCGGCCCAGTCGGGATGGAGGGGTCGGGACTTCAGGCGGACAGGGTCGGGACTTCCAGGGACCGCGGATCGAAACACATCAGGGCAATGCATGTCTGCTGCTCCCTCCCTCAGCGACAGCGGCGGCGACGGCGGCGACCACGGCGGCGGCGGGGACATCGACGGCGCTTGCGGCAGGGGCACCGATGGCCGCGCTGGCCGACTGAGTACCCCTGCCCGCTCCCTCCCCCCCCCCTCCCTCTCCACCCTCCCTCCCCCCCCCCGAATATCCCGCCTCTGGCCCCTCGCTGTCGTCACCCTGGAGGTGGCGCTGGGAGGGCTGCTGCGAGGCAGAAGCTTGGCGTCGCTCGGACGTGTGCACTGCTCCTTCGGCGAGGGCCATCGAGGAGCATCCTGGATCCTTTTTGGCGAAACAGCCACGCACGAAACCGACAAAGGCACAGGGAATGGACGTCCGAGCGATGCCCAGGAAGGGCCCCGCCGCCGATGCGCCTGGCGGTGCGGTGCGATCTGGGCGGCCTCCGCGCGTCCCCGCTCCCTCGGCGAGGGGGCGACCACGGCGCCTGTCGGAGGGAGGGCTGGGCAGCCGAGGCCACGGCGGCTCTCCTGCCTGGCCCGAAGCCGCTCGCATCGGTGCCTGGACCCAGCCATGGATCCATCCTCCTCCTCCTCCTCCTCCCTCCTCCCCTCCTCCTCCACCTCCTCCTCCTCCTCCTCCTCCTCCTCCTCCTCCTCCTCCTCCTCCTCCTCCTCCTCCTTCCCCCTCCTCCTCCTTCCTCCTCCTCCTCCTCCTCCTCCTCCTCCTCCTCCTCCTCCTCCTCCTCCTCCTCCGCGGCTCCAGACGTGGCGACGAGAAGCTCCCAGGAAGCCCACACCGGATGGAGAGCGCAACCGTGCCCACCATCGGATCAAGCCTCTCGGGCGCGGCTCTTGCTGCTGCCTGCGATCTGTCCCTGCTGATCTCCCGGCCATGGCGTAGTGCCGCTCGGGGGGCGCCTGGGGCAGCCCGGGACTGGCCACGGCGCCGGAGAGGGGGCAGGCTCTGCCGGCGGGCTGCATGGCGCTGGCGCGTACGGCGGCGGCGCCGACTGTGGAACCGCCTGCTGCGCCGGGGCAACCACCGCCATGGGCTGCGGTCCCGCCTGCGGCGCGGGGCGTGTCGAGGCGACGGGCTGCGGCAGCGGCGTGGGCGGCGGCAGCGGCCGCGGCTCGGGCGCACGAGGTGGCAGGGTCTTGAGCTACGTGGGTCCTGGGGGCGACTACGCTCAGGAGAAGACGTACATGTACGTGGGGGCGGGCGCGGGCGAGTTCGGGCTGCTTCGCATTTCTGTCCGCGGCCCCAACTGCTGCCTGTTCCTCCTCATCCCAGGACTGCTGCCCCTGCTGCTCCTTCCGCTGCTCCTGTACTCGCTCGCCCCGGGGAGCATCACGACCACGACGACGACCACCACGCCGTTTCTTCCCACAACCACGGCGCCACCCGACACGACCACCACGTCAGCCACCACGACCAAGAAGACGACGACGCAGGCGTCCCCCCGCCGCCCCCACCACCCCCGCCGCCGCCTCCACCCCTGCCCCCTCCGCCGCCGCCAGCGACTACCGAGAAAAGATCAGCTGTGGCGAAGGTGCCCCAGAGTCGTGGGACGAGGCGAAGAAGGTGCAGTGCTGCCATGAGAGAACAAGGGGTGTCCAACTACGTCCGAGTCGCCCTGCCCCATCGACTGCACCTGGGATCACGTGGCGTGGGAGTGTCCGAGGCGGCCGATTCCGGCGCCGTCCACAGCAGCGACACCATCATGGTTTACAGCGCCGGCTCCTGTGGCCGACGGCGCTGCCAGGAAGGAAACAGGGCGACAAGCAGCTCGTGGAGTGGGCTGTTACCGTAGACCAGGTCATCAGGGACCACAGGCACGACGACGACGGGCGCTCGCCCAGGGTGGCCCGGCCTCGCGGCGGAGCGCAGTATACGCGGCCTTCCCGGCCGCCCAGCAGCCGGTGTCACCTCGAAGGCCCGTGCTGCGACTGCAACGCGGGGCACGGGGGCCTCGACCCGCTGCACTGGTTGCGCGACTGGTCCGGCGAAGAGAGGTTGCACTGCTGCAAGGGCGGCCCAAAGGGGGTGCCCCTCGGCGCTGCCGCCCCCCTCGGCCCGGCCGCCCTGGGGCGAACTTTCCGCCCTGGACGCCAAACGTGTACGACTGCGACGCCGGCTGCCGCCACTGCGTGCACTGCCTGGAGCTGTCGTGGGCCCCCCAGAAGATCGAGTAGTCATTGCTGCGCCAACTTCCACAAGGGTTGCAAGGGCGAGGAGCCAGAGTACAGTAAGCTTCGAGAGTGGGCGGCGCTGGGCGGCCATGAAGCAAGGAACAGGCAGATCATGGGCAGCAGTCTATAAATGCCTATAAATATAGTTATATATACACATATTAATCAGGTTTGCAGGGATGGCTCTGCAGAGCACCCACGCGCCCAGAAACTTCTGCAGAGAGCTCAGGCGCTAAGAAGCTCCCAGACGTTTTGCAGAGCGCTCAGGTGCTCAGAAACCTTTGCATGGAGCTGAGGCGCCCAGCAGCCTCATAACCCTCTGCAAAGCGCGCAGGCGCTCACGAGCCTGCCTCAGAAGCCTCTGCAGAGCGCTCAGGCACTGCGCTGAGAAGCCCCAGCACGCAAAGCGCTCAGGAGCTCAGAAGCCCCAGAATCTTCTGCAGAGCGCTCAGAAGCCTCATAGGCTTCAGAAGCTTTTGCAGAGCGCTCAGAAGCTTCAGAGGCTTCAGAAGCTTCAGAAGCCTCAGAAGCTCCAGAAGCTTCTCCAGGGCGCTCAGAAACTTCAGAAGCCGCTGCTGAGCGCGCAAGCGCTCAGGCGCTCAGAAGCCTCTGCAGGGCGCCCAGGCGCTCAGAAGCCTTTGCAAAGCGCTCAGGCGCTCAAAAGCCGCAGAAGCTTCTGCTGGGCGCTCAGGCGGTCAGATGCCTCTGCAGAGCGCTCAGGCGCGCAGAAGCTTCTGCAGGACGCTCAGGCGTTCAGTGGCCTCTGCAGAACGCTCAGAAGCCTCAGAGGCTTCAGAAGACCCTGCAGAGCGCCCAGGAGCCTCATAAGCGTCTGCAGGGCGTTCAGGCGTTCAGAAGCTTCAGAAGCCTTTGCGTAGCGTTCAGGCCATCAGAAACCTATAGAAACTGTCGCAAAGCTCCCAGGCGCTCAGAAGCCGCATGAGCTTCTGCAGTGCGCGCTCAGGTGCTCAAAAGCTTCTGCTGCAGAGCGCCCAGAGCGCGCAGAAGCCTCAGAGGCCCCTGCAGAGCGCTCAGGCGCTCAGAAGCCACTGCAGAGCGTTCAGGCGTTCAGATGCCTCTGCAATGCGCTCCGGCGCCCAGAAGTTTGTGCAAAGCGCCCTGGCTCTCAAAAGCTTCAGAAGCTTCTGCAGAGCGCTCAGGCGTTCAGAAGCGTCTGCAGAGCGCTCAGGCACTCTGAAGCCTCTGCAGAGCGCTCAGGCGCTCAGAAGCCTTTGCAGAGCGCCCAGGCGCTCAGAAAGCCTCTGCAGAGCGCTCAGGCGCTGTGAAGCCTCGGAGGCCTTTTGCAAAGCGTTCACGCGCTTCTGAAGGCTGGTTGTAAAGTGGCCGTTCTGGTTGTAAAGAACCCCGCTTGGCTTGCAACGTAGGCCGTTCTGGTTGTAAAGTGGGCTGCTAAAGTTGCAAACTGGTCGTTCTCAAAAGAAAGCCAAACAATTCGATCCTTGGCTGGTTATAAAGTGGCCGATCTCGGTTGTAAAGTGTCGTTTGTTGGTAAAGAAACCGAGCCTCGGCCGAGGAAGACGAGGCACCTGCACAGGACCCCCTCCGACCCAACCTCGGCCCCACGATTAAGCCATCATATACGCCAGCGGCAGTGTACACTACCACCACACTCCTCTCGCACGCAGTGCGGTGCGATTTCTATGCAGCCGGTCCAGAAAGAACGTTGGACTGGCATGCA